TGTCCAGTTCTGGGCACCACAATTCAAAAGGATGTTGAGAAGCTGGAGGGCAAGCTTGGACACAATGGAGCAATGGATGGAGGCTACAGGAAAAGAGATTCCAGCTGAGAGTGAGAGCTGTTCCATAGTGGAAGACACTCCCTCAGAGATCTTGGTGGAGTCTCCTTCCTTGGAGGTCTTTAAAGAGAGGCTGGATGGCCATCTGTCACAGGGGATGCTTTGATTGTGAGTTCCTGCATGGCAGAATATGGGGTTGGACTGGATGGCCCTGGGGGGGTCTCTTCTAACTTTATGATTCTAGGATTCTAACCCACATTGAGATCCTGTAGCCAATAAACACTACAATTCCCAGGATTCCCTAGCACTGCAGTCTAAAACACTGCAGAAATAGTCCAGTTTGAGACCCCTTTAACCGCCCTGGCTCAGTGCTTGTCATGTTTGGTAGCTGGAGACTTGAAGAACCAGGACAGTATTGTAGTGAAAATTAACTATTCTGGAGTCTAGGACACACAAACCTACCCACAACGGCTAGAAGCAACTCTGAGTTCCCCCAAGTTAAACAACACTTGAAAAGTCCTTTGTCCAGCCCCCCTCCCACACTTGCAGCCAGCACCTTTGCGCCACTTCCAAGAGCGCTTTGAAGCTTTGTTGCTTTTTGTTTTGTTTTTGCCCTCCAGTCGATCTGGACCCAGGGCAACCCTTTGGATGAGGCCTCTCCAAGAAGACCCTCTGCCCTCCCCTGCTCTGCTTAAATCTTGTAACCCCTTAATAAACCCCCAATGGGACCTCCTTAATAAGAGAGTCCCTCCATCTGTCCTGTGGCCTTCCTCTCTTCCTCCTTCCCTCCATATTTCCTGACATTATTGTCTTTTCCAAAGAGTCCTTCCTTCTCATGATGGGTCCAAAGTACGACAGCCTCGGCTTGGGCGTCTTGGCTTCTTCTTTTTCTGGATTTTAATTGTTGTAAGCTGCCCCAATTGTCCGACAGAGGGGCAGGGTAAAATAATAATTATTCCAGGGAGGTTTCCGGCTTGATCTGCTCTAGGACCCCTTTCTTTGTCCTTTTGGCTGACCCCACGGTCAGCACTCAGCACTTTTCTCCAACACTTCAAGCATTGAGGTTTGCCCCTTCTCAATTCCTGTCTCCCCGCCATCTCCCAGGAAAGGAAGGCACCATCCTCAACAGTCATAAGCAGCAGCCCTAGTCTTTTCCCCTGCTGCAGCCATCTGCCCCAATCTACACTGCACCCTTTTCTGGATATGAGGGACTTGGAAACCGTGGTACATGC